AGCTTTTATTTAAATCAAAAAATTTGAATGTAACATTAGTATTATACCATGCAAAAAATGTCTTATAATGTTAAGCCATTACAGATTTTTAGAGAATTTCACTATTATTTACTATAATACATGTAGATGTCACAAATTTTCCGAGAAGACAGAAGAAAATAACTAAGAGGAAAAAGGAAGATAGAACTAACGAAATTATACATTGCATTCGGAAATGCGACGCATTGCATTACACGATGATACTAATTGTAAGGGTTAAAACTTTTTTATAGTTTAGCTAATAATTTATATATTTTACGGACTGTTACATTTAAAATTAAGAAAGTTGACATAAGCGAAATCAATTTGTCAAATTTAATAGTAATTTCTATAGTTCGTCATTCACGTGTCTGTTAACAATTCGGTGCACTGTCCACTGCGCCAATTAACATAATGCAAATAAAACTGAAAGTATTATTATAAAACAATTAAGATAACTATTTGCACAATGTTTCGTATAAAGAGTTTGGCTGTATGAAATACTGAACCCACAATTCACAAGATAAATGCATTCCGAGTATGTAATTCTGGTACTTCGAATATCAGTTCGCTCCAATATCCGTTACAAATGCTCAAGAAAACGTAGCATAAGAATGGACTTGGAACAACAAATAAAAGGAATACATCAAATAAAGAGTAAACCGATTTTTCCCAGTAGTCCGGACTAACGTATTGCGATTCTGTAAAATGGGAACAGGAAACGACAGCTGCAATAACAGCGATCCGAGGAACAGGAATGATGACTACGAATTCACTCTCGGCTCGTTCCGGCTTTCTATAACGAGATACACCGCTCGTAAACACACTTTACTAAGCCGGAACGATCGGGAGGAGCCATGGAAACGGTTTACCTAGCGCCTTAAGTGCTCTGTCTCGTAGCTAGATGGCACAGTACAGATATACGACGATTCACTTACTTGAAATCCAAAATCTGCTTCAAATAATAACAGAGGGAATGATATTGTCATTTGTAATTTAATAACAGATATTCGACGCTTCAGGTGTCGAATAATTATTCCATTTCGATTAGTTAACACATTTGCTACCAGCGCTTATTTCGATGACGATCTCCTCAATTATAATATTTTCTTCAATCCAATAAATCCTCTAAACAAAATATTAGAAAAATGAAACTGAAACGAGCCATTGAGTTCTTAAATATAATGTCGTAATTTATAATTTATAATAACAATATCCACAGGATTAATTTAATTTTCATTATGTAAAATATGGGATTACAGCCGTCACAAATACATATGTGACGCTGGTAGCGAACGTGACAAAGTCATTGGGCGATTTTAAGAATTGTTGGGTACTGTTCGAATAAAACTTTGAGTAAGGATAACGAATAAATAATTAATTGTTATTTGATTATTTGTTGTTTAAGTTATTCATTATTTCTTCGTTAATAGCGAAACTAAAAATTCCAGTCTATCCGTACTTCCTGTTTAAATATGTATAGTTAGCGATGTGTATTCTAATTTTTATTAAAATATTTCAATGTTTGACATAAAAAATATATAAAAGTATGTTAATGTTTGTTACCTTAGGAGAAGAATAATTTATATAAAACTTCTCATTAGACAATAAATCATTTCATTTAAAAGTACATAAACCACACTTAAAATTTTAGTTTCACTTTATAGTTTCTGAAGTATTGATGAAATGAACTTTTTAACTCGCACGTTAAGAATTGTTTTCATCGCTCCTACGTGAAGATCACCAATATAAAAAATATGTATTAACTCCATCAGATCCGGCACAGATTATGTGTACAATGTAATGTACACTATTTTATTACTTCAATATTTGACAAAATATTGAAACTGTGATCGGCAACCTTGTACAATATATTTCTACTTTGAACCTATTTCTATCAGAAAAGCAGTATACTACCATGATGTTATTTCAAATAATATTTACAGGGTATAACAAAATTATTCGGCACTAATGATTGGACGTGTAAAACTTATTAAACTGAATACAAAAACCCCAGTGAACATGGGTCCAGAACTCAATAGTTTCTAAGATAAAAATAGATTTAGTTTAAAAAGAACTGTATGGTGGTCGAATCAAAAACATCGAATTATTTCGAAAAGTATCAACGATAAGAGCAAATGTGTGAAACAAAAGTTACAGGGTATGAAACACTACATGTCACGATAGCAGATATTTGACCATAAGGTGACCTTAAAACGTACTGCAAAGGTCACGCCACAATTCTTAAATAGAACCCATATTTTGTATTTCATATTTTTGAAGCCGACGTTCACACGTTTTCAGTTTTTAGATATGAAATTTGTTATGTAATCTGTGTAAAAAAATTTGTGTGTAATTTGTGTAAAAAAAATCAGGTCTACAGGGGTTAAATATCTGTTGTTCTATGTAATATAAAAAGTGTATTATATTCAACGTATATCGATTGGGTAATATCTCTTTACGAATTATTATTATTATTATTGCTGCGGAAATTCTATCCACCCTTCATATTGAAGGGAACATTTTAAAAATCCTACGTCCCTGCACCATCCCTCTCGAAGGACACTTCGAACCCACGGGAACACGTGGATTTTTCCTGGAGCCGCTGGAAGGATAACGGAATTCGTCTGCCGAGAGGAACCGTCAGATTTTTCAAAAACGAAGCATTCTTGATGCAACTTTCGTACGAGATACTTCTTCGATTAGCTCTCGGAAAAGAGACAATATGTTCTAGCGTTTAATGTTAACACTAGAGTAATAATCTGTCACCCTTGTCGCTTCTACAAATCTGTAATATAAACAGCGGTATTAGGGTTTAAGGGAGATTGGTTTAAGATATTCTCGTCAATTTTTGAACTTGGAGTTTACAATTTCAGTGTTGTAAGCCTTCCGTCCCGAATGGTACATATAGTTAGCGTGAACATTTTAAATTATCGGAAAGCTAGAAAACGCCTTAAAGATAAAGGAAAATTTTATCACATGGGGATCTTTCTTTATGGCTGACAGCTTAAGTGCTAATCAGTTGCCAGCACATGTGTTTCGGTTGATTAGTGCGCAGCCGTAAATCTTTTATTCAGAAAATTCATATTAAACAAAATACATATTCGGGGACAAAAGGATTAAGACATCTCTATGATAACGCAAGATCGTACGTGGCAATGGCGTCGCAAAAAAAGTCCATCATATTTCTCAGATCTGGCACCAATAGATTTTCACCTTTTCCGAACGTTACAGAACAATTTAAATAGAAAAAATTTGTAAAGTTTGAAGAAGCAAAAGTCGCAATACAATTACAATTTAACAATAAACTTGGAGACTTTTATAAAAAAGGAATAGTCAAACTACTGCAGAGATTGGAAACTGTCATAAATAGCGATGGAAAATGTATAATCTGAAGTAAGCACAAAATCTTTCCAAAAATCACATCTGTAGACCATAAATTAAAACAGACAGAAGTTACACAGTAACCCAATATGTAAGAGAGAGTAGGGAAAACTGGAATGCTTTTTTTTTAATTGTAATAATAAAATATCTGGAGCAATAGACGCATGAAAGCTTTTTTTAGAAGTCTTAAGTAGACTTTTGGCTATAGGAAATGAAAGATTTTTTTAATAGAAATATTTTTTTATGAAGGGAAACACGATTTTCCAAAAATATTGAAATATCCGCTTCTATAAACTGGTAGGGTAAAACGGAACGTCCATTTTAAGTCATTTAGAAATACAAAATCTTTATTTCCACCAAATGAAAATTATTAATTGACACAAATAAACTATATGTTATAAACAAAAATTACAAATGAATGTGTTATTTTGCTTTTGTGCCCTGGTGAAATCTCTATGAGACCACATTTTGCAATCTTTTTGTATATAACAATAGTAAATTATATATAATATATAATAATAATTTTATATCATAATCCATTCGCCTTCTGTCTTTAAACGAATATATTTCAGTACAAAATATGCATATATCAGTAGGTAAATTTTTATTGTCTTCTTTTTTATTTTGTTTCTGGAAATGTCTTTTTCTGTACTTTTTGTCGTTGGAGAGCAGTCTTCTTCACTACTCGTTTCAAGTCTATACAACTATAACTATACAACTCCTGTTCTATTGCATTTCGAACGATCCGTAAAACAAAAGAAAGCTCACACATTTATTTATACAGTTGTAGACACAACATACACACGCGTGCGTACACTCATACTCTTCTTACAATACTTAGAGACATGTCCATTCTTCTCTATACACAAGGCGTTCCGTTTTACGCGACGCCGAAGTATTCCGTTTTGCCCCGCGTGTTGTAGTTTAGAACGAATTAAAAATCTACATTGTGAGATACAGACACGACTTAAATGTGAAAAATATAGCTCAAGGCGCGTAGAATCCAGTACTATACTTACCTTCTATAGTTTTTTAACCAGACGTTCAACAAAATGCTTCGAACAGCTACATAACATCGAAACTTTCTCACTGAATATTTTTCTAACGCTCTTAATTGAAAAATAATCTTGTAGTGACCTACAGTCGATCACAAATTAATCACCTTAAATTATACCGAGGTCTTATCAGGTGTATACCATGCAATACATTTATAAAAACATTGATTATAATAAACATTTACTCTACCCTCTTCTATTTATTTTTTATAGCAGCTGTTTATTGGTTCACGAAATACTTGAATAAGATAAAGATAATATTCTAATGTGACAATTTCTCGTGAGTATGTTTAATGAACTTCTGTAAACTAAATTTATTTTGCCAGAACACAATAATATTCTAGTGGTTCTGAATATCAAAAGCTTTTATGAAATGTTGTTGGATTAATTAAAGACTAGTATTAATAATTAGTAATAATTGTAATAAATAATATTATTAATAAGTGATGTTCTATTTTATTCTTGTCGCCCCTACTTATGTATTGGGGAATGGTTCGTGAAAACAGAAGCACTTTATATTTCATAATGATTTATTGCGTCTTAACAGTAATCTCCTCGCTTGACAATTACTATTAGCCGTTTACATACATCCGTAAAAACATTATAATATATAATAACTCTGTGCCTTAAAATGTTCCAGTTTACACATACAACGGTTACCAGTGACGAGTCGTTGAGCAACTACTATTGCTGTTGGAACGAGACAGCGAAAGGGATTTTCGAAGTGTAGGACAGCAAAATGGCCTACCGAGTCCCCATGTCCCCACTCTCCACGTCGAGGAACTCGGAAACGAATAATTTCTCGATACCATCAATTTTGTAATGATGGAGGGTAGCAGTATTTGAAAAACCAATACTGAATGTCATCTTTGCGTACTTTATACATTAAGTCACTCAGTTATTGTATTTCCGAACCTTAAATCGACGCAATGGTCAAAACCAGGCAAATTGGCCCCACAAAGCCATTTTCTCACTCCTCGTCCTATCCAACGTGACGATTGGTACGCCATACCAAGATCTCCAAGTTGACGGCAAAATAATAAAATCAAGATACTTTCTTAGTGCCTTTCAACTATTAATCGATATTAACCAACATATTTAAATTCTTATACTGAATACATTTTGAAAAATAATATAGTACCAAACTATGCTCTATATTAATTAACCCTTAAATGGGCTAGCAAGTCATTCAAATACGAGCTTCCATATTTCCATCAACAATTTGTTAATGTCTTTGAAAGAAGGCAAAATCTTTCCTCTACTTTTTGAACACTTTTACATAGGCTCAGGTTTATAAAATAGAAAATAAAACTGTAAACATTTTGATTGGCCATTTAAAAATTAATATATCAAACCACTGGCAACAGTAACAAACTCGACGGGAAATTAGTCACACGTAAATGTTATAATCCAATTTCACACACAAGTTTCAATTTTCGTTTCTTCGCAATATCACGCAATGTTAACTACGCAAAAAATATCCTAGGAATATAAAACCGTGTACACTTCCTCTCGAAGTATCTTACAATTAGACCAATCTTACTCGATCCTTGCCTCGATTTCATTAACTATATATAGGGTGCTTCCGAATTATGGTATAAGCGAAACAGGGGTAATTCTGCATACAATATAAGTCGAAAGAAAGATTAAGATGTTTTCGTTTGAGATTTAATTTCTGAGAAAATACTAGCTGAAAATCATATCGATAGACGCAACAGACTCTTTAACATTCCTTTATTCGAAAATAATAATTCGCACAATGAAATATCACTGTACATTTTTTATTTATTTCCTAATACATTGAACCTCATCCGAATTAATTAACTTTCTTGTGCAATTCAGAATTGGCCACAATTAAGTAGATTAGATAAATATTTAAAATACATACATATTTGGAAAGCAAAGTTTTAAATAAAATGTAGGCATTCTTTCTGTTCGACTTATTTTTTTTGTATTTAGAATCACTCCTTCGCATGTACTGCGAAATTGAAACTACCCTGTAGTTCATAGATTTTAGGTGAAAAATTAGGACTACTTACAATTTTCAACATCTTTTATATTTTTTGTAAATCTTAAATGCTTAAATGAAGTTCAACTACAAACGTTAGTAAATATTAATGTATTTCATTCAAATACGAATAATTTATATATTACTATACACAATAAAATACTATTGGTTGCCAAATCCACAAAATTATTCTTATTCAAAAAAATTCTCGTACCCCCATAGCCAGGTAACTCTCCTGAAATAAATCCAATGGAGAACGTCTGGAGTTTACTTGAAAAACTTATATATACATCATCAATTACCACATTAATTGGTTTAAAAAGACTCTGCATAGTAAACGAGAGTAGCATAAATTATTATTAATACACTCTATATAACGTAACAAAATAAAATTTCCTTCATTTTAATATTTAAAAAGCAAAATGAAAAAATTATTGTATAGACTTTTGAAATATTACTTGACGTCCTGATAGGAGATCCTCCGAATAGGAGGGGTTAAATTTGGCTAAAAACAGAAAAGATGTTAAAAATTCCGAGTGGTCCCAATTCTTGTCCAAGGATAGAGCAATCCAATGTACGATTCAGTTTCATTTCTTTCTCTGCGACGATGTCCGTCCGTTTTAATCGTCTAACGTTCCCTCCGCGGGGAAAAAGCACCGCGAGCTCCCTCTCAAACAGTCGGGTCGATCTTGAACTTAGACACCGCCCTCTTAAATCACAGACAGCTAACGAGGTACGTTTCGCTTAAGTTCCCCGACCTCGTTCCCCTGCTCGTGCGCCGAGTACGTGCCGCGAAACTCACCGGCGGATATTTATTCCGCGATCCCGCATGGCAGTCTCTGATGACTTTGGGGCTTCGTGAGTGGAAGCAGCAAGCGGGGTCGGTCTCGTTTCGGGCGGAATCGATGAACCGGAAGACACGAGAAGCCCGACCGCTATCGACGCTGATCGCGGCTACTTGATTGTGCGATCCAGCATCCCCGCACGCGAACACTCTCCCCTTTTTTGTTTCACCGTCGCTTCTTTCTCTCCGTACACCCTTCGCACCGATCACCGTCATTTTTCACTGACACCGTTAGCTGCCACTGTTTGCGAAAGCACGCCTATCAGAAATTGGCCGACTACTCGCAATCTAAAGCTGCACAGGGGCAAAGGGAAACTTTCATTCGCGATGCTCACTACATTCTCGCGATTAATATTCACCTGAAAATCGGGACTGTCACCGGGCACAAATCGTGCAGTGGTGTTGATTCGAAGTCGAGCTCCTGTTTATCCTCTGCAGAGAAGGACAACGATAATGAAAAAGCGAGACATCCGACCTTCAGAACGATAAAAAATACAGATGAGTGAAAGGATATTAATGCAATGTTAAAGTTTTTTTATCTGTCACTTTATAATATTTAATTAAATAAAAAATAATGTTTAAACAATTGATTTTAGTAAGAATTTAAAATAAATTGATTAATTCTTACAGAGTATTGTGAAAGAGATTTTTTTTTAATTTTGTAAGCGAGCCAAATATTAATCGCGAGAATACTTAGAGCAACAGTGTCAACAGGATGTCCGACGCATTCTCGTTTTTGGCCGAGTAGTGTAACAAAGAACGCAAACAAAACAAAATGCGACGATGCGACGTGTAATGATAGACAATTACGTGGAATTCCATACCCGAAGATTCTATATGCTTACGGAATTTGTAATTGTGTGAGAGATTGTTTTTATTATGTCGTTATTGTATTGGTGTAATTGAGCGTGAGAGAGAGAAAGAGAAACGTGAGTGTCACTTGTTGCAATCGGTAGCGCGTACTTTATTAGCATGTGAGCAATGTAGTCGAGACCATGAGTGTGTATATTATATTCAAAATTAAAGTTTTTATTGCTAAATATAAGAATATTATATAACTACAAGTGTGCAAAATTATATGTCACATTTACAGTAATAATTATCCTGGTATCCTTACTACTATGTATTAGGAGTCTTAGAGGATTAAGAGGAACAAGCAAAGAATTGTTGATAGTCGGTCAACTTCTCAGAAGCGTATCGTACTTGCTGGAACAAATATAGCGAGTCGAGGGTTGTTAATGGTTCGCGAGTTTGGATTGATACCTTCTCGACATTAGGCTGCAGTTTAGGCAACGTTGGAAGGGGTAATAATGAGGATTAACAGAAACTGTTGAAAACTTAGGACACCATACGATCTGATAAATAGATAAACCGTAATGTTGTAGCACGTGGTTGTACTAAATGAACTAAGTAAATACTTATGTCACTCAGAAAATAAATTAATACTCATCAAACGTCTCTTCTTATTTATTGTAGCTTCTTCACTGGCAACGATTTATAAATTCAAATGAGTTTTGTCTTAGAAGATGGTTTTAACCGTTTAGTAACTTGTTTGAATAGAATTGTTATTCTGTAAGAAAAAAATTCGTTTGAAGTGAACATAATCGCAGATCATAGCTACCACTACACCCCACCACTTGCGCTATATTTCCTTCAGATATTCAACAAAATCCTTTGAGCTAAGTATAATTTAATAACTGCTAAAGTAGTGCCAGAATTGTTGATAATAAGAATAATTCACTGATGACAGTTTTTTTATTATTCTATGAAGTTCATAGAATAACTTTACCATAGTAAGTATTTAATAAGTACGTAAGATTTAATTAAATAATGTTGTAATGTTCTATTATAATTTCTTTATCAATCGATTTCGATCTGTTACGTAATAAAAGTTTCTCTTTCAATTCTCTGATGCACACTGTTGTAGAATAATGTTGTGCTTGTGAAATAAAGCCTGAAAAACAATTTTAATCAATTTTGAAAGTTAATCAATTTTCAATAGTAAAACAAAAACAAGCAACGATGTAAGGCATCAAAATATCAATTTCCAAGTTTTATCTTATTGAATTTCATATACAGAATAATAAAAAAATTTCATTGACGATTTTTTCGTATTATTAGATAATAACATCAATATTATCATTGTTAAATGTTGTGAAACCTTTTTGTAACAAATTTATTAACTTAAATTGTAAACTGGCTTCTGAAATAAAAAGATTTATAAATACAATCTCTATCTATTGAAAACAAAACCAGAAAGGTTTCAGATTGATATTGATAAAGAGTAAAAAGAACTTCGAATACTTGAAACGTACCTAACTTATGATTGATTAACAACAACCGATGATTCTTTATCTATCAATCGATTTAGGGAAAATACGCCAATGTCTTAGGCCCAAAATTATAACACCAGTCGTTGAAGATCTTTATACAATCCGAGTTTGTTTAGCCCACGTGTTCGACAGCATATGTTACAAAATTAAACATTAATAAGTGATATCTGTCGTTGAACTTGATGTCTATGTACAATATTTCTTCCCAGAACTGATAAACAACAGCGTACGGGTAATTTCTTGTTCACTCTGTGACTGTTTACGTATGATATGTTACTCATTGATTGGGGACGGATATTGCTGAAATGATCAATGAAAATTGTCGACCAGGAAAGAGACAATAGTACGATCTACAACGTTGCGTTTTCTTTGAACGATTCATGGATCGGTATTTATCTAGGTACAAAATCCATCTTAATTTTCTACGTCTATTGTACGAATAAGTTAAAACTGCACAGTATCAGTTTTGGAACGATTAAGTATAAAGAATGGGTTCATTGGTTAAAAGTTAAAACCTTCATAATTTCTACTTCTTGGACCAAAGATGTAATGTTAGATTAACTCTAAACGAGCACGTGTGAAACCGTTTATTACGAACATTAGGATTAAAATGTGATGTTCGTTTATTGATTGTTCGTATTAGTTCTCATGCAAACGCACGATATGGATACCATACAAAATATGTAGAAAACATTTCCTCTTGATTACAAGATCGTGACAAATACGACAATCGATTTTCATTAGACCTTCTATCAGCACAATTATGAATCTATTGTGGTTCACTGAACAGAAATATTATCTCATTACTTTAATTCAAACAAAAAATTGTAATTCTAGAATAGATCTCAGACAGAATTTGTATCAAAGTAATTTCCGGTCTAAATTAATGTTTTTGTATAAAAGTAATAAAAAGCACCGACAAAATTAAGAGTACAAGAATTCAGCTCATTTCTGGTTGCTTTTCAAAATTTGCTTTGTTAATATTTAACAGCAATCAATACATGATAAATCCAAAATAAAGAAATTAATAATAATAAAATGAATTTTTCTAAAAAACTCGACATTTTGACTCTGTCGTTCTTTTCCCTTCTCAAGAATAACATAATCTTTCAAACATCCCCAACATACAGTCTTCGATCACTAACCTTTGTTAAAATACCCTGCTCGAACTTCAACACCTGTCATAACAAATCACGATCAATTCCTGAAAGAAGTCAGTACGCAATCGACTAGAGAGCAACAATCATCACAGTCGCGTAGCAATCAAACAAAGTAGCTTAGTTTCAACCAATCTATTACTCTAACAATCAAAGCTTGGTATTTAACATTAACCGTAACTTCCTATTAATCGTATCGTATAAAGTAATCCCTGTTTGATGATTCACTTAACTACGTATCGATTCTATTTCCACGATTAAAGTGAAGTTTACGTACCCGTGACACTTAATTAAAAAGACGTGACGTTTATCTCGGAATGACCGTGGGTCTGTGCGGAACGTAGGTAATACGACGGGTAAAATAGGTAGTGAAACCTTGAAGCGACGGTTTTGTCAATCTATCGGTTTAGCAACGGATAAAAAGGACGGCGAACCGGATCATCTCGCGTTCGATCGACGAAACCTTTGACGCAGTCGTCGTCACTTGATGTTCTTCATCATCTTTAGGGGATCGCGCATGTAACGGGCGAAAACTTCCTTCTTGAACGTCTCAAAATGCTTCCTGTTAGCGCTGTTCTGTCGCTCGCGCCAAGCTGGCCTAGTCTTCCTCGTCTGTAGGCCCCAATGCACCGTGAACACCGGTGAGAGTACCTTGAACTGGTAGCCGGCCACGTACATCTCGTAAACCTGCATAGAAGAATCCATTCTTTTATTGGGTTGGCCCATAAGATTACTCGTTGTTGTTAGGAAGCGACAGTAATGTAACTTTATATGCAGTACAATTTATTTTTGAAAAGAATGGCGAATGAAGAAGAAATATGGATTGTCTACGAGAGTATTGAATGCGAAAGATTTCGGACTAAAGGCAATAAATGATTATTATCGACTTTTGAACTTGGTTTTCATACAACAAATATATTTAAAATATGTTATACTTTAGTTTCGGGGAATTGGAAAGTTTCTTGCACTATAAAATTTACAAATAATTAAATAATTAATGCGCATAAATATGCTACACTACTGGGCAAGCACGAAAGAGTTTGTGTTTCACATGTTCTGTTAGATTTCGGGCTTTTTAGCAACTCAGTTAAATTTGTCAATGTTTAAGAGAAACACCATGTCTCAACTTTTACCATTTACTCGAGTCCTTAGAAAATTTTCAAAAAAGAACAGGATAACACACTTAAAGATTCGCAAAATGTAGCTAGAATATCTTTATCTCAAATAAAACGTGGAAACATTTCTATGGTCGTTAAAATAAAATGGCTTAAAAGATTACGGAAAATAATAGAAAAAATATCTAACAAATTTAATAATAAAGTTTCCATTTTATATACGTAAATTGTGGTTATTAGTACTGTTCAATTAGTATTATGCTAGCACATAAAAGTCTTTTAACTAATTTACTCGATGTCGAGATGTAATGTGTTATTGAATACTCGCGACAAATATGTTTACAAGTTATTTATTTACGTAGACGAGTGTTCGGAGGCAGAACGGGTAATCTGCTTCCTCGCGCCTTTCCGCTTTATTTATCTTCGTCTTCGGAAAGGCGTTACCCCTTGGAAACTTCGAGGGTGGAGCTAATTCCCTTCTCCAACGTCGCCACGATTTTTTTGACAGAGGAAAAATTGTGAATTTCTAATTCGGAAACTTTTTCCGAGCCGCGCTGACCGTGCGGCCGAAGAAGCCTTAACGGGACATGGCTGGCAGCGTTTATGGTAGGGTAGCCTATTCAGCTACGCACGTGTAAAAAGTGTAAAATATTTTCGCCGACTTACAGACTTTAGGGTAGGCTTAATTGCCTATACCTAAACATCTGTAAGCGGTCAATGCTATTTCCTACCAACGCTGCGAGCCACGTACCGCTACACTCGATTATGGGATCCAAACAATTATTCGATTAAATTTTTATCCAAATAATACATAAAATATTAATTTTTTTCATCAGTCAAACTCGAATTTAGTAAAACAATTTTATCTTCGTATTAATGAATCAGTAACAATTTCAAAGACATACGTCTGAGTCACCATTCGAAATAATTTTTCATATTTCCTTCTACATATGAGTACCACGACTACTGATACAGGTCACGTGCAAAGAATATTCTTCGCCCCGGAATGTTCTTATTCTAAAACCTTTTGGACATTATGGAAGCAGTATGTTTCAGAATAAAAGAGAACCGGTGTAACAATACTTTTGACAGAATAAATATTATTGGATCGTGTTCGATAAAAGCACATATTCGTTACGGTGATACGGTGAAAATGTTGAGAACAGGAAGTATAAAAGATTTATGTAATATTATATAAAGGTACTATTTTTATTGTGAAGTACCTTGAACTCTAAAATTCTCCTGAAATATCGTTCGTATCAACCGAAAAAGATTTTTAGCTACTTCTTTCCAAATTAGTATTTACGTCTTTTTATGCGACAGTATTGCTATTTAAATCGAATGCTGACATACTGACACACGTTTTCTGGGCTCCGTGATCCCTGACTTGTCTTTATTAGTACGTCTATATATATATTTAAATAATAATATATTCAAATAATCATGATATTTATAAGCATAGATATAAAAAATGAAGGAACACAGCGATTCGATTCACCTGGCGCGACCGGATCTGGATAGACCCGTTTCGAAGGATTTCAGAGTGAATACGATAAATGAACAAAATGCAATATTATAATCTAAAGTACATTAAATATTGAATACAGACACCTTAGAGATTAATAAAAATAAACGCATTTGAATTTTTATCCGATTCGCCTCCATCTACCCTAATGAAATTCTATTTGACGGAAAAGAGATTTCTGATCAACTCAGCACCCCTGTTACTACCCGGTACATGAATACCCGTGTATTCAAATAGTATAAGAAACAGACGACGAAGGAAACGGTTCACTACGGTGGATTCGTGAGTGGAACGGTCCGATAACACGAAAGAATTCGCGTTTGGTTCGATACCGGGTAACTGCGTCCGAGGCGAGACGAAGTTTCGAGCGGTGAACGACCGTTCCAGATTCTTTACGACTTTGCCTCGAGAGATACGAAGCTCCGAAGTTCGAATTCGAAATCCGTGGAGCAGAGATTCTATCGGCTCGTCTCGCAGCCACGCAACGCCGTAAACGCACGCCTCTATTTACTTACAAATACGAAAGCGGTTATATGGACGCTAGTAAAACGACTGCATCGAACATTACAGAGGAGAAAGGACATAAAATGGAAGAACTCTTTGCGCAAGTGAAGAAACCGATATAAATATTATAAACCAATTAAAATTAAAATCCGCATGGAAAATACGAATAAATTAGTTACATGAAAAAAACGTTAACGAAAAAAACGCGCACGAAGAAGTACACACATACGAATGTGCACGTATACAAAATCGCGCAAGGGACAAACAAAAAGTGTAAAATATGCACAATTTATAATCTATTATAGATATATAATTACATTATATTATAATGTATAATATATATTATATAATTATAAAGCAAAAACATGGGTGGGGAAAGGGCAAAGTCGTCCCGTACAGAAACTATTCTCACATATACCAACTTTTATTATACAGTAAATTTTTCTGGATGCAGCATCAGTCGTTAATATTACATATGTACCTCTCACGTTAGTTCCATTGACCAACAAGCTAAAAGTGCACAGAGGCAAAGGGAATCTTTCAACCACGATGCTCGGGCCGCCGTGGATTTCGACGCATGGTCATTATTGGCGTGCGCCAATAACAAAGAATTTTTAGAAGTTAGAATTTGTAAGCGTTCGCGCATGAAGTTAGTGTAATATAAATAACTCCTTTGTTATTAATAAGCCAACGACCATTTTTTGGTACAAAACGACTTACATACCATGGAAATAAATAAATTATGTTTCAAATTTGGTATTATTTAAGTGTTATACGACTCACGGACATAACCACAGTTTTCATGCTCAGATAATGTTAATTTCACATTCCCTAATTACACTGTGAAGCAAATTTGAACTTTTTTTGTGTCTTGCAATAATCACTAGGCGATTCTTATAGAGTCCCTTACCCTAAATACGAATCCGAAAACCAAATTGCTGGGTCACGTCCAGTTTTCGAAAAACATGGGTTTTTGTAAAAACGGTCGAATTTTTCAGTTTACAGATAGTATTTATTAAGTTTACATACATCTGCAGTGGATGTTTACTGAAGTATTTTTAAGTTAACATTAAAACTACTGAGTAGAGCCGAATATTCGTTATAGTTCCAGTTAACTAATTAATTTTCAAAAACATTTCAGATACCTATTACTTTCAAGATATTAATAATCGAAAGAAAATAAAATTTATACTGGTCATCTTGACAGATTCAATAGTTTTAGTGTATTCACATACTGAACGGCAAATTATTTAAAGCAGAACGATCATGACAAGGTTTCTCATAATTATTATGAAAATTTATAAAATAATGAAACATTATATATACATATAAGAAGTGACCGGGGTTCAGCTCTATATACATAGCGTGTAGTCAAGGCCCTGACTAGCCGTGCCTGGCGAGCGATGGCCGTGTGGCACTAAAGAGATTTTCTTAACCTGTCCGAAAGGAAAACCGTCCTTACGCTTTCTGCGGGGGGTTTCTCTTTCAGAAATGTCCGCAGAATCCAATGGTGCATAGCAAATTCGTGCTAGCCAACCCACTTTTCATAGAAATGTTACACAACTGCGTACAAAGTACGCGCATCTACCTTTTTTAAAACTTTGATCATCATTTACAAGCATTTAATGATAAGTAATATTCAAAATTTGTATAGCTACATATTCAGGCAACTCTCCTCTATTTTTTGTGACAAATTTTAACTATCTATCGTCTTTAATTTTCACGTAACACTTGTTCCTCTGAAAAATTCGACCGTTTTTACAAAAACCCATGTTTCTCGAAAACTGGACGTGACCCAGCAATTTGGTTTTCGGATTTGTATTTAGGACAAGAAACTCTATAAGAATCACCTAGTGGCTATTACAAAACAAAAATCGTGTTCCACAGTGTTATGTTTTCAACAGTAATGAGGCAAATCAGCAAGCTTGTACGAAATATCGGTGTTTTAAATTTCCGAATATTGTTAGTCGGAAGTAACTCGCCAGTGTAAAGCGTAGACCCATAAACGTTTTATGAACAATAATACGCGAATTGTAACGATTCAACGTCCCGTCGGGCATTTCGCTTCGACGTAGTCAATAAATCAAGCACACGTCCGGGAAATGTACGCACATTGTTACCGATACGAAATTTATTCGTATGGCTCGTGAATTACGAATCTTGTTTTAAACACGCGACCCGTTTCCCCATATCCCGTAAAATTATAACAGAACCTAATATTCCGTGTTGCGTCGTCGGAACGGTAAAAATTACTCGGCGCTTCGCGTTTTGTTCCGGCTTGCAAATAGAACACGAGATAATGTCTCTTAAAAAATTTGAGGAAGGAAAATATTTATTTTATCCGTCGCGCCGACCGTTTTGCAGCCATGTTTCCTTCGTGAAATTGAAAAAGTGTTCCATCGTCTAGAGCGATAGCGGACGCGTGTATAAAACGTGCACCGTCGAAAGTTAGCAAAATTATATTTCTGCCGCGGTTCGTGCTGTGTCCGTGTGTGTACATTTCGTCGGTTGCTTTTTTGTCGAGGTCGCGATGAAGTTTCTTC